GGGAAGCTGAGGCAGGAGGATGCCAAATTCAAAGCTAGCCTGGGCAACGTGGCAAGACCCTGTGTTAAAAATAAATAAATAGATAAATAAATAAATAAATAAATGGGACCAGCCTGGAGATACGGCTCAGTGAAAGCACCACCAAGTCAATGCCTAGCACCTGACCTCCTCCACCCTCCAAGAGTTAAGTAAGCCACAATAGTGGCTCTTCTTAACCCTTCTTGTCTCTTGCATTGTCCTTGACTTTCTGACATTCTCAAGACTTTGCTTTGTGATGGGCTATGGTTTTAAGACTCTGAGTAGCCTGGACACTAGAGGGCTGGGTTTATTTGAGTTGTAGATGTACACAATACCTTTATTTATTTTTCTGTGGTACTAACATTCAAATGCAGTGCTTCACACCTGCTAGGCAAGCACTCTACCACTAGCTACAACCCCAGCCCCTGTTGCTATTTTTAATATCCATGTATTTCACTAAGACAATCAACCCCATCACTATACCACAGCTCAGATAAAAGTCCTGACTTAATTATTTATATATAATACTGCAGCAATTTTGCAATAAATGCTTGTGGAATGAATGAATGAACCACTCACACTGCTGCTGAATGCTGATGGTTTGCCTGGAGTTCACAATGTCTCTGAGCTGTGGTTTCTGCAGGAGGAGGTGGCCAGTAACTCTGGTCATGCTTAATCTCTCACCAATAAAGACAGAGGCTGGGAAACAGTCCATAGATTGGCCAACAAGCTTAAACAAGAGCAGTTCCTACCCAAACCAGGAATTCTTCATATATTCCTTCAGTAAAGGTATTTCCTTGGTGTTATCTGAATGACTCCAAATATTTGCATTAAAATATAACAACCATCTCTGAGAAGTCTCAAGGCCTGGCGTTGAGGTGATTTGATTTTCAGTCTCTAAGGACTTGTTTTGTTTTTTTCAGAACTGGGGACCAAGGGGGAGGACTAGACACACACCTTTCACTCATATGCAATCAGAAACCTCTCTGTGAGAAGACACACAAATCCCAGAGAAAACTTGGGGGACAGCAGTGACAACCTTTGATTCTGTAATATATTCCAGTCCACTCCTGGGCCTGCAGAGGGTTAAAGTTTCAGAAACAAAGTTGTAATCACTGAACTATGCATACTGATGAGACAATAGCCTCAGGCTTTTGAAATCTTGATAACCAGGAAATTAATTATAAATTCGAAACTCCTGCTGTGATTGACTGAAGTGATACACAAAAAGTGCCCAGTGAAACAATCCCAATCAACTCAGCTTAGCATTTGTGTCCTGAATAGCAGGACAGCAAATCTCCATTCACTTTCAAAAGTAAGAGGAGCCTATTATAGTGAATGAGCCAGTGGAATGCAAAATATTCAAATGTTCAGATATTCTAGGACTTAGATCCTTCAGGAAAATCAGACTATATAACACAAACACAAGAAAAAAAGACAACTACAACCAAGGCACTTCTCTTCTCAGCCCCACTTTCTCCTCCTTCCAATCAGGGTCCTAATTCAGATGGACCAGAAATTTCCCAAGCCACTTCTCCAAGACAAAAAAAGAATTGGTAGTGCACACCTATAATCCCAGAAGCTGGGGAGGTTGAGGCAGGAGGATTGCAAGTTCAAAACCAGCCTCAGCATCTCAGTGAGGCCCTCAGCAACTTAGCAAGAACCTGTCTCAAAGGGGGAGAAAAGGGCTGGGGATGTGACTCAGTGGCTAAGCACCTCTGGGTTCAATTCCTGATTTAAAAAAAAAAAAGAAGAAAAGCTTTTATATTAGCAAATATTATTTTATTTCTCAAATCATTTCTTTTCTTGGTGATATAGCTCAGTTGGTAGAGTGCTTGCCTCACATGCACAAGTCCCCGGGTTCTCATCCCAGCAACACACACACAGAGAACAAAAAAATCATTTATTCTCTCTCTCTCTCTCTCTCTCTCTCTCTCTTTATTTATTTATTTATTTGTAATTCTGAGGATCAAACCCAGGGTCTTCTGTATGCTTAGCAAGCACTCTATTGCTGAGCTACACCCCCAGTCCATCTTTTACATCTTTTGATGTAAAAGAATATAGATTCAAAGGTTTGGTAAAAATGAACCAAGAAATGCACCTATTCTTTTTTTTGTTTTTCAGTTGTTGATAGACCTTTATTTTATTTATGTATTTATATGTGGTGCTGAGAATCGAACCCAGTGCCTCACACTACATGCCAGGAAAGTGCACCACTGCTCAGCCCCAGCCCCAGCCCCAAGAAATGCATCTATTCTTTTTTTTTATTATTATTTTTTTAAGGTGGACACAATATCTTTATTTTATTTTTATGTGGTGCTGAGGATTGAACCCAGTGCCTCACGCATGCCAGGCGAGGGCGCTACCACTCGAGCCACATTCCCAGCCTCTGCATCTATTCTTTAATAGGCACTTTTGATTAAGTTTTGGGGCATCCATACATGGAATACCACCTGGTTATTAAAATTAATGAGGTATAGTGAATGAATGTGTTTAAAAAAGAATAAATCTGTATTAGCTGATTTCTAAGTTAATTATATGTGCATACATATGTATACATATACATTCTTTCTCTTTTAAAAAATTTTTTGGTGCTGGAGACTAAACACAGGGGCACTTAACCACTGAGCCACATCACAGCCCTCTTATTTTTTTAAGAGACAGGGTCTCACTGAGTTGCTTAGTGCCTCACTTTTGCTGAGGCTGGTTTTGAACTTGTGATCCCCCCTGCCTCAGCCTCCTGAGCCACCAGGCTTGGCTTACATATATATTCTTTGTGAGTGTGTAGTGCTGGGGATTGAACCCAGGGCCTTGTGCATGAGAGGTAAGCACTCTACCAACTGAGCTAGGTCCCCAGCCCACATATACATTCTTAATAGTATAATATACCTATACCTATATTTTCCATTAAAAAATTATTATAGAATTCCGTTCTATCAGGGAAATAAGAATGGTTATGAGCAGTAAATTAGAAATTTTTTGATTTTGTTCTGTTGGATTTTTTTTTTAAATCATCAGTATATATTATAAAAATGACTAATAAAGAAATCCAAATACCAAAATAGTTTCATCCACTGGACTGGCCTATAGAAAGTCTGTGGGGCTTCTGTGAAGCCTGTTATCCTGTGTTCACCTTTCCATTTCTCACCTGTGGAGAATAGGAGGACAACCTCAAAGGCCTGCTATGAGATTCAAAGCAGAGCACAGGCAAAGAAAACTAAGGTTAAATGGTACTGAAAGGAAAAAAAAGGCAGAGCAGAAAAGAGATGTCAATAATCACAGAAAAGAGTGTTCCCTGCCTCACCCTTAAGGGAGTATGCTCCAAGACCCCCAGTGGATGCCTAAACCCCATATAAAGTAGTTTGTTCCTAAGCACATATAACTATGATAAAGTTTAATTTATAAATTAGGGTACAGCAACTAAAAATAGAACAATTATAACAATATACTTTAATAAAAAAGTTATATGGTGGTGGTCTCTTCTCTCTCCTCCCTCAAAATATCTTTACATATTTTCACTTAAAAGAAACATTCATGGGCTGGGGTTGTAGCTCAGTGGTAGAATGCTTGCCTAGCATATGTGGGTTCAATCCTAAGCACCACATCAAAATGAATAAATAAAATAAAGGCATTGTGTCCATCTATACCTAAAAAAATATTTTTTAAAAAAAAGCATTCACGAGCGCTGGGAATGTGGCTCAAGCGGTAGCACGCTCGCCTGGCATGCATGCGGCCTGGGTTCAATCCTCAGCACCACATACAAAGATGTTGTGTCCGCCGAAAACTGGAAAATAAATATTAAAAAGTTCTCTCTCTCTCTCTTAAAAAAAAAAAAAAAAAAAAAAAGCATTCACTTTGTGGCTCTTATTAATGAAGGATTACTTGAACACAAGCAGGAGATCCTGCAACTGATAGCCCACATGAATCTGATCGCTGAAACACAACTGGGTAGTGCATACTGCTTGGATTCCCTGGACAAAGAGATGATTCATGACAGCACAAGATTTCATCACGCTACTCAGAATAGTGTGCAGTTTAAAAAATTATGTATTGCTTATTCCAGAACTTTACATTTAATACTTTCAGACTATAGTTTGATCATGGATAAGTATGGAAAGTGAAAATCCGGATAAGGGAGAACAGGAATGCTGGAATGGTGAAAATACAACATAATATTTGTGAGTATTTATGAGTGCATAAATGTGCCCAATATTTTATCCTCACGATTTTATGGGGAAGAAATATTATTCTCATTGTAAAACTGGAATAACCTTCTCTAAAGTAACAAAAACCTCCGTAGGACCTGCACTCAGCCACTAGGCTGTGCTGCTTCTTCAATAAAAATTAAACAATGGGATTTTTTCCCCCTAATCAGATCAGCAAAATTTCAAAAGATTGATGGCATCAAATGTAGATAAGCATTTCAGGAAACAAGTACAAGTTTAGTATTTTGATAGTAAGAAGAATCCTGACTCAGCACAGTGGTGCACGCCTGTAATCCTAGATTGCAAGTTCGAGGACAGCCTCAGTAACTTAGCCAGACCCTGTCTCAAAAAAAAGGAGGGCTGGGGATGGGGATGTGGCTCAGTGGTAAGTGCCCCTGAGTTCAATCCCTAGTACTAAAAAAAGAATACTAAAAGCAATTCAGCAAAATAGCACCCAGCACAAAACATCCTCCACCCATGCTGGGGATGGAACTGAGGGTCTTGGGCATGCTAATGCAAGTGCTCTACCACTAAGCTATACCCAGACCCCAAAAATAGGTATCTGACTTTGGACTTGGTTTTTGTACTTCCAGAAACTTATCCTACAAACTAATTTCAAAGATGTCTATACACCAATGTACAATGCAGTACTGTTTTAATGCCCCCCCCCCCAAAAAAAAAAAGGAGTCTGTATCCTTTAAAAATGGAAGTCAATCTCTAGAACCAGGTGTGGAAAGAATTCTAAAACATACTAAGTGAAAAACAACTGCCACAAAGGAATATGTACAATATTCTTTATGAAAAAATATGGTATAAACATGTGAAGGTTTGTTCTCTAGCATAGCTCCCCCCCCCAAAAAAAAGTCACATTATTTCTTCTTGGAAGAGTAAGGCTGTTGCTTCTTTCTCCTCCTCCCTCCTTCAAACAAAGCAAAATCATAACTCAGAAAGAAGTTGTAGAAAAAGGATCACGTGTTATTTATCAACCAAAACAATCATAAAACAATTTTTAAAGTCACAAATACAACAGGTATATAAAGTCAATCTGGAGTCAGGTACTTCTTTTATTTATTTATTTAGTAGGTGTAGTTGGACACAATGCCTTTATTTTATTTACTTATTTTTATGTGGTGCTGAGGATCAAACCCAGGGCCTCACATGCACTAGGCAAGTGCTCTATTGCTGAGCTAGAACCCCAGCCCCAATGGTCTTCTTAAATATGCTGCAAATTCTTGTACATCCCTGCTACTTTCCAAACAGATGTGGTTCAAACCCTGTGGAGACTCTGCAATTTCATAGCTCGTAAGAGGTGAACAAAACTCACAATAAATAAACCAACAATTTTTTAAAATACTAAGTGGTACATGCTATTTTTAGTTATAAAACACTCTTACTCAGACTAAAGTTAGTAAAAAGTTGTACAAAATTTGTATTTACATGTTGAAGATCCTCATCGTATTTTTCTTGAATAGTAATACACACAAGAACTCAAAGGATCAATAAAGAAATAACTGAAAATCCCAATAAGTCAACCAGGGAATTTCATTATAAGCTAAACACAAAAAGGCACCAAACATTTTTTTTTTTTTTTAATTTTTTATACCAGGGATTGAACCCAGGGGTGCTTAACCACTGAGCCACATCCCCAACCTTTTTAAAATTTTGAAACAGATCTCGCTAAATTGCTTGGGGCCTCACTAAGTTGCTGAGGCTAGCTTTGAACTTGCAATCCTCTTACTTCAGATTCCCAAGCTGCTGGGATTACAGGTGTGAGCCATAGCACCCAGCACAAAACATTCTTACAGACTTTTCTTCTTAGAAACTATTTTGGCACCTTGTCAAGTGGTAGCAAAGCTCAGTTAAGTAGTTCTCATATTCAAGTGCAAAAATATTACAATGTTTATAAAATGTCCCTGTTCCCATCACCTGAGCTTTTGTCATGGAAACTGAGGAACTTATACTTTTAACAAGATCCCCAGTGATTTTAATGAAGTGCACAAGAATGCTGCTCCCTGAACATTTGAATTCTATCGCCCAACCCAAGCTCACTGCTCACTATTGGTTGGAAATCAGACTCCAACCAGCTTTACCTTGTTAAGTTTCCTCGTTTGCAAAGTCAATCAGACTGATGCTCTCTGAAGGCCCTCAAGCCCTAACAAGGCTAAGATGGACCCCAAATGCAGAAGAAATAGTTTCAGTTTGTAGAAGAAATAGTTTCAGATAGAAACCTAGCCTTCACACCAGGTGCAGTTTTTGCAGGTAACTGGGTTCCTGTCGTTCCACTATCTTCTGCATCTTGCTCTGTCAGTTCAGTTTTTAGGACATTTGAGTAGGAGAATTCTGACACACATTTATGTTAATGTGGGAGGCTTTTCTCATGCAAACAAGGAAGCTTCCAGCAATCCTGGGAGAAGCTACACAGACAATAGCCTGTGCTAAGCCCTGCTTGTTTAAGAAATAAACAGCCACCTCCCCACATCAGTAAGCAGGCTCCACAGCTCCTGTAAAACTCCATCTGTAGAGCTGGAAAACTCAATAGGAAGTTTTAACACTTGTTGAACTTGAAGAATAAGAGCTGGATTTCCTGGAGAATTTCTTGGAGGTGAGGGATACTTGCATTCGCTTCACAGTTCGGACACTCCGACAAAGGAGAGCATTCTTCACATGATCCCTGAAATCTTGTGAAACAAAGTAATAGACAAAAGGGTCAATGCAGCTGTTGAGGGTGGACAGGCAGAGGGCTACAATGTACAGCGCATAGACATGGCTCTGGCCTTGGCTTTTAATCAGGAAATAATGCACCACGAGCAGAAGGTTACTGGGAGTGAAGCAGATCAAGTACATGGCCAGGACAGTGACAATGAGTTTGATGGCCCTCTTCCTTTTCTTTTCCGAGTGTTCATCCATGGCAGAAGATTGGAGCGTTCTGATCATGAGCACATAGGCAGAGGCTGTGAGGAAGGCTGGGAACATAAAGACTCCAATGGCTAGAGAGAGGAAGTAATTGAACATGTCCCCCACCAACACCTCCTCCGGCAAAACATCATGACAGGTCGTGATGTTAAGGGCTGGGATGTAGATGGTCTGCTTCATGACATACAAGGGGATAGTGACCAGCAATATCAGCAGCCATATTCCCAGGGAGACACCAATAGCAATGTTTGCACTCTTCCTGGTGTGTACCATGGGGTTCACGATAACCCAATACCTTTGCACGCTGAGGCAGGTCATGAAGAGAATGGAACAGTACATATTGCCATAGAAAAAGCCAATGAGCACCTTGCAAAGAGATTCCCCATAGATCCAGTTGTTGCCATGTATGTGGTAGGCAATCTTCAGGGGAAACCAAATAACAGAGAGGAGGTCTGCCACGGCCAGATTAGCCATGTAAATCACAGCAGGGTGCTTCTTCTTTGTTCGGAAGAGAAAGACCCATAGGGCTATGCCATTACTTGGTAAACCAATAACAAATACAGTTGTGAAGACAATTGGAAGAAAGACAGTGGTGAGCTTTCCAGTGAGGAGGGACATGGAAAACTCATCTACAGAGAAGTCTGGTTCCACTGTAACTCCTTTTCCAGTGACTGAAGGGGGCTTATTATGCTTCCCAATAAGACTTCTTCCTTTAGAGGTTCTATTGGATCCTGTGTGAGAAAAGCAGACAAGGGTTATTGCTGAATTAAATGCTTCAGCAGGAAGTCTAGTTTGCTTAAATGAAAATATTTAGAGGAAGACAGAAATATAATATTAGAATATTATACAAAATGCTTATAAGGGCTTTCTTTGGGTGAAGGCACTTTTTTATTGAGAGTTGTGAAGCACACATGGGAAACTTGATATCAAGAAAAGATTTCTTGAAAAAAAATGACAGTTATTTCAATTTATTTTTAAAAACTGCATACTAGCTAGATGTGGTGGCATGTGCCTGTAACCCCGATGACTTGGAAGACTGAGGCAGGAGGATCCAAGTTCAAAGCCAGCCTCAGCAACTTAGTGAGGTCCTGCCTCAAAATAAAAAATAAATAAAAATAAAAAAGGTCTGGGGATGTGGCTTAGTGGTTAAATGCCCTGGGTTCAATCCCAGGTACAAAAAAAAAACTGTGCCTACTCATTAGTTCTTGATTATTCTTACTCATGTGCCTTCATGGGTCAACTAGTAAAAATCAGTTTAGGATCATGAAGTAACTGCTTTATGAACACTCGTGTAAGACAGAAGCCCTACCATGACATCAGGTTTCTAATTGTTCATTTTGTAATGGCTGTCTATCCTACTCTGGCCCTGAGCCAGGATCCAGCCTAGCCTTCAGTCAAGCCCTATGCCAGAGCTTGGCAAGGAAGATTCCCAGGATTACAAGGGACATTCCCTCTCCACCCACAAGGAGGGCAGGAATTCCCTTCTTCTGTGCTGGTTTCCTGGAGACCTTTCCATAGCTGCTTGCTGGCAGGCAAGTTTTTGAAGCTCAAGATCACTGGAACAGTGATACCAAGTTTGTGTTCTCATTTTCAAGATGTAACATACCAATTTTTAACAAATTATGCCTCTTCCCTTACATTATGAATTTAACAATAAAACTCATAAACAAGCCATGCGTGATGGCATGTGCCTGGAGTCCCAGCCCCTCTGAGGCAGGAAGATTGCTTGAATCCAGGAGTTGGAGGCCTGGCAACATAGTGAGACCCTCTCTCAAAATAAACAAAAAATCCAACAAACAAACACATCCACTCTTCATCCCTCCCCAAACAAATGCTCTTGGACCTTAGGAGGAAATGAGAACAATGCAGAATTTTACTTTAATTATAAAAAACAGTAGGCCTCCACCATGCAGAGACACGTGTACCATAATATTATACCCAGGAAGGATATTATACCTCTAGTGAGTTCACCTGATAATTCTTATGCTCAGCCACCACTTTTCCTCCTTGTATCTTTGTACTTATGTTCAGCAAAATTACTCACTTCCCAAGGCTTCCCTATGTAGGACCAACAGTGGGTAGCCTGGGTGGAGTGTTGGAGGTTACAGAAGTCAGTATTTCAGTTTTACTTAGTTTTGAAAAAAGGTAGTTTCCCCAAAGAAATGTCTGGGTCCTAATTTTCAGAATTGTGAAGATTACCTTATTTAGAAAAAGGGTCTTTGCAGATATAATTAGGGATCTTGAGAAAATTATCCTGGATTATCTAGCTAGGCCCTAATCCAGGACAAGTGTCTTTTTAAGAAGGGGAGATTTGAGACAAAGAAGAAGACACAGTAGAAAGTAATGAGAAAATGGAGGCAAAGACTGGAATAATGCCATAGTATAAGACAAAGGACACCAAGGAACGCCTAACAACCACCAGAAACCAGAAAAGGGAAGAAACAGATTCTTCTCTAGACCTTTTGAAGGGAATGTAGTCATCCCAACATCTTGATTTCAGACATCCAGCCTTCCAAAACTATGAGAGAATATTTTTTTTGTTTTATGCCATCAGTTCATGGAAATTTATTATGGCAGCCTCAGGAAACTCATACACTTATGACAGACCTATCTCTATTGTTTCAATTTCTTCTTCTTCTTTTTTTTTTTTTTCTTGGTACCAGGCATTGAACCCAGGTGTACTTTACGGCTGAGCTACATCCCAAGCCCTTTTTATTTTTCATTTTGAGGCAGGTTTTCACTAAATTGTTTAGGATCTTGCTTAGAGCCTTGCTAAGTTTCTGAGACTGTTCTTAAACTTGTGACCCTCCTGCCTTAGTCTCCTGAGCCACTGGGATTACAAGTATATACCACTATGCCTGACTATTTCTTTTATAACTTTCCAAAATGAGTTTTTTTGTTTGTTTTTAGTTGTAGATGGACAGAATACCTTTATTTTCTTTATTTATTTTTATGTGGTATCAGGGATCGAACCCAGGGCCTCACATGTGCTAGGGAAGCACTCTACCACTGAGCCACAACCCTGTCCTCAAAATGAGTTTTTGAATTAAAAAAAAAAAATTATTCTTATGTATTATAGTGTCCTTCAAATACTGAACTCTTACCCCATGTAGCTCAGTGATAATGTGCTCTCAGTTTAATCCTTAGTACCAAAAAAAAAAAAAAAGATAACCAGACATCTTGGGCCTCTAAGGAAACATGTACCTTATTGTTACCTTTTTGGTAACCCTACCAAAAAGGAACCTGATTTCATTGTCTGAGTCCATCTGGGCTGCTATGACAGAGTTCCAAAGAATGAGTGGCTTGTAAACAATAGAAACTTATTTCTCACTGTTCTGGAGTATGGAAATCTGAGATCCAGGCCCCAGCATGGTAGAGTTTGAGGGCCCTCTTCCAGTTGCAGATTGCCGGCTTTTGGCTGTATCCACACACCACAGAAAGGGGGAGCTAGTTCTCCAGCCTTTAAGGGCACAAATGGCATTTATATATGGCTCTTGCCCACCCTGATCTTATTATCTCTCAATGGCCCACTTCCTGATACCATCCCACTAGGAATTAGATTTCAACATGTGAATGAGGGTGGGTTACAAACATACAATCCATAACACCAGTCCAGCACCTGAATCCAATTACCAAATTAATGGAAATAAAGGGGCTAATGGGAAATGTTAAATAACACCCCAAGAAGATAGTCAGATTTGGGGAATTGCTACTGGATAAAGGACAATGTTTTTTCAAAGTATAAATTGTAAGGCAAAAAAATAAGAGAAAAAGAAATGTAGAAGTGAAATTAAAAGATTTTAAAAAGGGAGTGGGACTGTAACTCAGTGATAGAGCACTTACCTAGCATGTACAAGACCTTGGGTTCATTCTCCAGCACTGCTAAAATAAGATTTAAGATACATGTCACATAATATATGTACTTTATTTAGATGTTGATTCAAAGAAGCCATTAAAATAACATTTATGAGGCCATTAGAAATTTGAACCCTGAGTATTTGATTATATTAATAAATTATTGGCAGACAGATGTGGTGGCATATGCTTGTAATCCCAATAACACAGGAGGCTGTGGCAGAAGGATTACAAGTTTCAGGCCAGCCTGGACAATTTAACAAGATGCTAGACCATGCCTCAAAAGAAAATGAAAGTGAAGGGAGGCAAGGACTGAGGATATTGTTCTGCAGTGGAGTTATTATCTAGCATGTGAGGCCCTGGGTTCAATCTCCAGCACAGTTAAAAAATAAATAAATAAAGGTGGCAGGCAGGGGGTTATTAATAGGTATAATAATGGTATTACATATATGTTTGAAAACAAATCCCTTATCTTTAATGAATACATTATAAAATATTTTAAGATGAAATTTGATCTGGGATTTATTTAAAAATCACAGGGATTGTTGGGCCTCTCGACACAGCTGGTAGGAGTAAAAATGGTATAATCACCATGGAAAATTATCTGGCATTCTTTAAATGGTTAAATTGAGTTACTATATGACTCAGCCACTTACACCTAGGGAATATATCTAAGAGAATGAAAACATATGTCCATTCAAAAACTTGTTCATGAATATTCATAGAGCAAACATTATTCATAGTAGTAAAAAATGAAGACAATCCAAATGTCCATCAACAGATGAATACCACAGATGAATCAAGTGAGAAATATCCATACACTGGAATGTTACTTGGCAATGAAAAGAAATGAAGTATTAGCAGGGCAAGGGGTGCATGACATCATCCCCAGGACTCTGGAGGCTAAGGCAGGAGGATTGCCAAGTTCAAGTTCAAATTCAAGTTCAAGCCCAGCCACAGCAATTTAGCAAGACCCTGTTTCAAAATAAAAAATAAAAAGGTCTGGGGATGTGGCTCAGTAGTTAAGCACCCCTGGGTTCAATCCTCATTACCAAAAAAAAAAAAACAACCATAGAAATGGAGCATTGTAGCTGGGCATGGTGGTGGGTGGCATTGCCTGAAGTCTCAGCACTCCAGAGACTAAGGCAGGAGAATCACTTGAACCTAGGAGTTAAAGACCAGCTTGAGCAACACAGCAAAAAAATAGATAAAAAGAAAAATGAATGAAGTATTAATACAAGCTATGACATAATTTTGAAAAAATTATGCTAAATAAAATATCAGTCATAGAGAACCAAATATTGTGTGAATCTATTTATATTAAATGTCTAGAATAGACAAACCCATACAGACTAGCTTAATGGTTGTCAGTGACTGGAGATGGGGAGTTTTAGACAGCTAAGGTTTCTTATGGGATAATAAAAATGTTCTAAAATTGTGGTGAAGGTGCACAATCCTATGAATCTACTAAAAGTCATGGGTGAATTGTATGGTATGGAAATCTTAATAAAGCTATTAAAAACTAACCCAGAGCTGGGCCTGGTGGCACACCCCTACAATCCCAGCAACTCGGGAGACTGAGGCAAAGGACAGCAAGTTCAAGGCAAGCCTCAGCAACTTAGTGAGGCGCTAAGAAACTTAGTGAGACCCTAAGAAATTCGGTGAGACCCTATCTCAAAATAAAAATAAAAAGGGCTAGGGATGTGGCTCAGTTGTAAAGAGTTTAATCCCCAGTACCAACAACAAGAAAAAACATTAACAAACCCAGAGAGGAGGGGTGAGAAGTGGGTATAGACCAAGCAAGTTTAGCCAAAAGTTAACAATCATTTAAGTTGTATGATAGGCACATGAGATTCATTACTAATATTCTATTTCTATGCAGTTAAATTTTTCCATAAAAAAACCAGCACATATCAATGCAGAAGGTTCATGTGAAGAGAGACTAAAATCTATTTTAAATAAGAATGCTAAAATAAAGAGAAAAAAGGAACAAGGAAATACAATATTAACAAAAGAAAGGGGGCATTGAGTTACGTACAAAAATGAAGAGGAGAAGGTAAAAAAAGAGGACTCATGCGGTATGTATATTTACTATATTATTCAATATAGGAAATAAAAAATGTAAATATCAACATCTACCAAAAAATGTCGCAATAATTTGTGACATTTATAGTTCCCTTATAAAAGTATGGACACATTTCTATAGGTTGGCCATGAATCGATTTATTAGGTAAAATTTAAAAAATTATAGGACAGTATTACAATACTGTCTTCTTATTGCTATATTATTTGTGTATAGATAATTCCAGTTGACACTGGACCCACTCTTCCCACCAAATCAAGATAAAACAAGTACTTTGTGTTAACCTTCTTCTTCTTATCCCCTCAACCCAAATGTTCTTTTGCTCTCAACCTTTGGGAGCACAGGCTGAAAAATAAAAGATTTCAACTATTGGGTACCCTTCCTAAGTATCTTTTAGAAAATGATCTTTTAGAAAATTTCCCCCAGCTGCTTGGGAGGTTGAGGCAGGAGGATCGTGAGTTCAAAGCCAGCCTCAGCAACTTCGCAAGGCCCTAAGCAACTTAAAGAGGCCCTGACTCAAAATAAAATATAAAAAAGAGCTGGGGTTGTGGCTCAGTGGTTAAGCACCTCTGGGTTCAATCTCTGGTACCAAAAAAGGAAAGAAAATAGAAAATCTCCAAAGTGTTCTTTCAGGATAAAGTGTTTTCTTGAACAGCTGACCAGCCAATAAGACATTAAGAAGTCAAATACAGATTTCATGAAACATCACCTATCAAAGTTAATTAATAACTCCAAGGCAAACAAAAGGGATCAAGCACAAATTCAAAGCCCCTTCTTCATGTTCATTACTCTCTTATGTTATAAATCATTGAAAATATTCCATGTGTCTATCAATAGAATACTAATTTTTAAAAGGATGATATGGAGCTGAGAATGAATGTCAGGAGTGGTTATTTTACACTGAGGTTGGGATGATTTTATTAAATATTTTCCTGTTTTCATTTGTACCCTACAGTGACTACATATTACTTTTACAATTAAAAGTTCTCTGTACAGAGAACTGAAGTTCCAGTCTCCGAAAGAGAAATGGAATGACTGAACCACAGGGGCCCTTTCGGGCTTGGGGCATGGTATAAAGAATAAATATCTAATAGAAGCTGACTCAGTACCACACTGTCTCTGACCAGCAGTCATTCTGCGAAAGTTCCCTCACTTCATTCTTCCTTTGATGTTTACTAAGGTTGTTTAGGTGAGAAGACTGAGATGAGATGAGATTATGGAGGCTATGGTAGTGTCCCTGGCTTTCAGGAGTCAATGTCCTGGTGGGGAGACAGAGTTTTATACACACACACACACACATACTACATTTATATATATATATACACCACATTTTCTTTATCCATTTATCTACTGTATTTACACAAATAATTATTCACAACAATTGTGAGAGAAAAGAGAGAGGACTGCTGGGGTGTTTTCCTTGACTTGCTCCCTCCCCTATCCATGGTCCTCTACCTACAAAATGAGGTTATTCTAGGCTAGTTCTTTTCTATGATGCAGCCTTTTGGAGTGAGGCTTTGGGGAAGAAAATCAAATCCAATCTGCCCTTTAGAAAACTGGGGAGCACATAGAAGGACCAAGCTAAAAGAAAACAAGCAAAGAGCAGAAAAGTTTTGATGATACTCTACTTTGTATCAAAGTCAGTTTAATTGCAGGTTGGGAGGAAAGTCTCCTGTTACTTACAGAACCTAAGAAAGTTACTCTGCAAAGGATTACAAGTGTGAAGGAGAAATAAAAACCATGGTGCAATATTAAATAGCTCTGGTTAACAAGTAACTTGATTTTTCTTCATGGTGAAGTGAAGTTCACCTTATACTGCAGGTGAATTCTTTATACTCTCCATCCCCAGTCTCACTCTGAAAACAATAATAAGTCAGATAATCAGGGATGTTTCCTACAGAATTATCTGAATCATAGTGTTGAATCATCTATATTCACATTTTTAAATTTTTTATTCTAATTTATTATACATGACAGCAGAATGCATTACAATTTATATTACCCATATAAAGCACAATTTTTCATATCTCTGGTTGTACACAAAGTATATTCACACCATTTGTGTTTTCATTCACGTACTTAGGGTAATGATGTCCATCTCATTCCACCCTTATTTCTACCCCCATGGCCCCTCCCTTCCCCTCCAACCCCTTGGCCCCGTCTATAGTTCCTCTAATCTTCCCATTGTTCCCCCTCCCAACCCCACTATGAATCAGCCTCCTTATATCAGAGAAAACATTTGTTTTGGGGGGATTGGCTAACTTCACTTAGATTTATATTCTCCAATTCCATCCATTTACCTGCAAATGCCATGATTTTATTCTTATTTATTACTGATAATATTCCATTGTATATATATACCACATTTTCTTTATCCATTTATCTACTGAAGGGCACCTAGGTTGGTTCCACAATTTAGCTATTATGAATTGTACTGCAATAAACATTGATGTGGCTGTGTCCCTGTAGTATGCTGTTTTTAAGTACTTTGGGCAAATGGGTGCAGCCAATATGGAAAGCAGTATGAAGATTCCTTAGAAACCTGGGAATAGAACCACCTTTTGACCCAGCTATCCCACTCCTCATTCTACCTTTTTTAGACATTTTTAAAGTCTGCATACATTAACCTTTGCTCCTGAGTTTTAAGTTTCCAACTTTAAAAGAAAGGGAAATGGAGAGGCACTAATAACAGTTTCAATACTCCCCCCAAATGAATAAATGCCTTTACTCTGCTACTGAACAATAAAATGTGTATCAGTGGTGCAATTTTCAAACTTAGATCAAAACACTCTTTTCTGTAACTCCAGAAAGAAAAGAATTCACCGTGATTTGCTCTTTTTACAATGTCTTTTATGTAGAGGATAAAAGTGTGAAACTGCCTTTTACAGCACATCTGCAAATTGCTCAGGGAAATTCAAATCTCCCTTTACCTATGGGAGGCAGTCTCCAAACAGAAGTACCTCAGTCAGCATCACACCCCTAGAGACCTGCTCAGCCAGAGAGAGATTGTACTTCTAGCAGCGCTAGTTAAAACACCCCCGGAACAGCCCACCCATCAAACCCGGGCGCCAAGCACAAGTTGGCCCCAGAGCACCGCCCTGCACAGCTCCCTTACTCTTCTGTTCCCAGGGCTGGCAGCCTCAGGCCTATGGACCTGGGTAGCCCCCAGCCTGCCCTCTGAATGGCATGGAAGGGCCAGGAATTCCAGCCAAAAGGTTACCTAGTCGAACATAAAGCAAGATCCAAGAAATTCCACTTGTAAATCTACCTGACACCCAAACGGCCTGAAAGTCCGACCTGCTTTTCTACGCAGGTCATCCATCGCTGGGTCTTGGACATTATGGAGCAGACCCCAAAGAAAAAGTTGCAGTGGTTAGAGGGGGGTTCAAAAAGCGAGACAAAAGGCTCCAGGCCGGAGGCTCCCACCCACTCCCCGCTGCCCTGAGCCATCAACTAGCTAATCCACGGGCCCCGCGGGACCAGCCCAGAGGAAGTCGCCAGAGTGTGCGAAAAGCTACTAATGACTTAAGTGTTTGCAAAAGAACTAACCCAAGGGAGCAAAGGCCGAGTTCTCAGCGTACCTTTTAGAAGCAGGCACTCCTTTCCTGTCTGCCCTTCCCTTCTCCACACCAATACCTGCTAATTTAAAGTGCCCCGTCCAAGACCCTCTCCAATAAGTAAGTCCCTGAGACCACCTCTGCCTTCAGCCGGCCTCCACCGACTTCAGTCACTCCTGGATGTCCCTCCGATGGGTCCTCCAGGTGCAGGGATCCCCTCCACTATAGCTACTAAGAGACTGAGGGATTCGCGGGGTAGTAATGGGGGCAGCAAGCTGTTGGTGTACTCGTCCCGCTCCCACCACCTGCCCAGAGTGCCCCAGACTCCAGCTCCTCAGCCGTAGGAGCCCTCCTAGGCTTAGTTTCTTACCTCGGGTGGTCTGACTGCAGGAGGCAGAGGCCGCCAGCAGGATGGCGCCCCCCAGCAGCCACATCATGCTTCGACTTCGCATCCTTCCAGCAGCTCCGACGCCGGGCGGGGAATCCGCCGCTACTGATTTGAAACTCAGTGTCACACTCGATACACCCACAAAGCCCCTATTTCACTTGCCTCTAATCAGAGACTCTGCGCGCGCTTCCTCAGGTCGGGATCAGTTTCACTGAAACCCGAGCCGTTGAGCGCACCTGAGAGACGCCACGCCCTGGGACCGGAACGCGCACCTCGGCCCCGCCCCTTCGAACCTTTGGCACCGAGTCCCCGCCCCCGGCCACCTGGCCAGGGACTGCCTCCCGCCTACTCTGGGTTGTCTTGGCTTGCCAAGGTCTCAGTCACTGCGGGAAAATACGGCCAGACGAATTTGGGCGGGTGAGGTGGTTGCATTGGAATGCAAATGACAGGAAGGCTGAGACCGCGCGGGTCCTTCCGGACTTGGGCAGTGCTTGGAACTACCTTTAACCTTTAATCGTTCCTAGAGAAACAGTGTTGGCAATTTCCCTCCCCTGCACTGAAAATGCCTTGACCAGCCTTACTGCCGTTATCGTTGATAACTGATACGCAGTTGGGGGGCTTCTCAGTGTAAAGGATACTGCGGGTCCAGGAGTGAGTTTCTGATATGGAAAATCAAGGCAGGCAGGCCCATGTGGATACCAGGGAAGGCAGCCAGAAAGGGTCAGGGATTAGTTACTTACTCTGCCTTGAACAGCTATGACCTTGAACAAACCTCCTCAAGCCCGCTAGGCCCTTTGCTCCCCTGTGAACTGGAGCGTGGGAAAAATACCTGAAACTGTTATTGTATTTTAAGTGCCAAGTGCCAACACTTCAAGAACATTATCATCTTGTTTAATCCTCACAATAACCACACAATAAGTATGGTTACTCTTCCATTTTACAGATCAGAAAATTGAGTTTAGGTTTATAAATGTTTATAAATGTCTATATATTTGAACTTGAGTCTATGGCTGACATTTTCTTCTGTTAATCGCTGCTCTATCCATGCTTCCAACACGGCCTGTTCTGCACTTGGATCCCATAGTCTAACAAATACAGGGGTTGGAGGCATGGTTCAGTGGAGCAAGTGCTTAGCAAGCACAAGGCCCTAGTTTCAATCCCTAGCACATATAGGTGTGGGGGCCAAACACACACACACACACACACACACACACACACAAATGGATAAGGGAAGGAGGAATGTGGAATTGAAAATGGGTGCACAAAGGCCTTCATCCTGTTGATAATGTCTTACTTTTTTATTTTATTTTATTTACTTATTATTTTTGGTACTGGGGATTGAACCCAAAGGGGCTTTACTACTAAGCTATATCTCCAGCCCTTTTTACTGTTTTAGTTTGAGACAGGGTCTTGCTAAGTTTCTGAGGGTCTCTTTAAATTGCTGAGGCTGGCCTCTATTTTTTTTTTTTTTTGGTACCAGGATTGAATTTAGGGGTACTCCACCACATCCCAGCCCTTTTTGTATTTTACTTAGAGACAAGGTCTGACTGAGTTGCTTAGCGCCTCCCTGTTGCTGAGGCTGGTCTTGAACTCATCTCAGCCTCCTGAGCCCTGGAATTATAGATGGGTGCCACCATTCCAGCCCAGCAAGCCTGGCCTCTTTGAATTTGCTATCCTCCTGCCTCAGCCTCCCAAGGATTACAGGTATACACCACCAACATTAGGCATTAATTTACTTTTTTAAGGGGAGAATAAAACAAAGTTAACTGTGATCTGTTTAAACCATGTTCTAGAGCTGGATGCTGTAGTGCATGCCTATAATCCCAGCTTCAGGAGTCTGAAGCAGAAATTCAAAACCACCCTGGGCAATTTAGCAAGACCCTGTTTCAAAATTTTAAAAAGGAGTGGGATGTGTCTCAGAGATAGAGAACCACTAGGTTTAACCCTCGTACTGCAAAAAACAAAGTAAAACAAAAATAAAATAAAATATTGTTAGCCAGGCACAGTGGCACACACCTGTAATCTCAGCAGTTTGGGAGGCTGAGACAGGAGAATCATGAGTTCAAAGTCAGCCTCAGCAATGGCGAGGTGCTTAGCAGCTCAGTTAGACCCTGTCTCTAAATAAAATGCAAAATAGGGCTGGGGATGTGGCTCAATGGCAGAGTGCTCCTGAGTTCAACCCCTGGTACCCCCCCAAAATAAAAATAATAATAATAATAATAAAATAAAATATTGTCCTGGAAGAACAGAGAGTACTTGAAGGATTAGCACATTAGAAGAGAATCAGACAGGGCTGGGGTTGTGGCTCAAGTGGTAGAGTGCTTGCCTAGCACGTGTGAGGCACTGGGTTCCATCCTCAGCACCACATAAAAATAAAACCACCTAAAACTAAAAAATAAATATTAAAAAAAAAGGTGGTGGGGAGAGAATCAGACAGCTCCATGAGGCATGGTGCCTTTGGTCCTGGCTACTTGGGAAAAGCTACTTGGGAAAATGGAGAGTTTGAGACAGCCTAGACAATATAGTGAGATCCTGTCTCAAACAAACAAAAAGGAAGAAGAGGATCAGCTCAGACTTGCCTTGACTAGCTCCAGAAAGCAGAAGTAGATGGAGTCACATCTACTTCTTTTGGCTCTATGTAAAAAGAGCTGGTCCCAGTCTTGATGGCTTCCTTCTGAGGGTATGGACTGCTTAACTTCAAAGTCTATAGCAAAAGACCAGCACAGGAGTTAGCAATGGAGTCCAGATTGCCTCTTGAGGGACCTGAATCCTAATGTTTGCTACTAACAATAAGCAGTGAAATGCATGGCAAGGTTACAATTGTTGTTTAAACTATTTTAAGGTCTTCTTTAAACTACTTTCAAAGTAGATGAGAAAGCAAAGGGTGTTAGTTAATTTGTAGAACATAAACAGGAGCGAAGGAGCTAATGGGAGAACATGTCAAAGGAAAAAGGATTAATGGGACAGCTCTTGACAGGGTCCATTGAGGTTGGTGTGAAACTATGAATTATGACTACAGGTGTCTCCATTTGTCTGGGAAGCAAGATTCCTTTAGTAGCACAGGCACATTAAGATAACTTCTGACCAGCTACTGACCCCAGTGCCCACATTAATGTGGGATTGACTTATGAATGAAACCCTCCTAAATAGGATGGCCACCATGACAGTCTAGGCAAGGACCAACTAAGGTCAAAAACTTTACATCTAACCTGAAGGAGGAGTTGAACGTCTGATTGGTAAAGACTGCTGAACGAGGACTCCAGTTCTTTTGGTAAACATCAAACATTAATAAATTTGGACACAGGGAACTGGGGTTGTAGCTCAGTGGTGGTGCGCTCACCTAGCACATGTGAAGCCCTGGGTTCAATCCTTAGCACCACATAAAAATAAAGTAAATGTATTATGTCCACCTACAACTAAAAAATATAAATAAATAAACAAATAAATGAATAAATTTGGAGACAGCATTGTCTCCTTTGTTCTCTGCTCGAAGAAAACCCACTCTCTCTCTCTTGATAAAACTCTCTGTTTGAGCCCTTACTTTGCTTTTACTTTACTTTCATTTATAATAAAGTTCTCTTGCATAAGGGTATGGACTCTAAAGTTAGTTGGCATATAACTTTAAATTTTCTTTCGTCGGAACCAAGGTTTGGGGTTTCAACTCACTGCTTTCCTAAGACATATTACTTTCAGGAGTCCATAATTCTCCCTGGGAGACTAAAATTTGGTGAGTCAGTTGTCAGTGACAATCACTAATTTTGGAACAACCAAAAATCAAATTACCACCATCTCTAAGCCTTTCAGTGTTCAGGATGGAGCTTACATCCGATAAAAGGCCTACATCTTGTATATTGAAGCAACTTCAGAAAGACAATATTATATAAAATGTCATATTAGCCAGTTGTTTCAGCCTATATCTCTCCTATAAAACATTTTTCCAAGCCATGCATTGTGATGCACTCCTATAATACCAGTGGCTCTGGAGGCTGAGGCAGAAGGATTGTGAGTTCAAAGCCAGCCTCAGCAACTTAGCAAGGCCCTAAGCAAGTTAGTGAGACCTTATACCTAAATAAAATATTAAAAAGGGCTTGGGATGTGCCTCCGTGGTTAAGTGCCCCTGGATTCAACCCCTAGTTCAAAAAAAATTTTTTTTTCCAGAAACACAAGTGAATGGTTAGTATTCCACCTCTTCCCTCTGCACAAACAGGGGCTAATACAAGCAGAGAAATAAAAGAAAGAGAAATAAATAGCCTTGAATAGCCCATGAGAATGGAACACATATTTTCTGAGTAACAGAAATCATGGTTTCTTTCTTTTTTTTCTACCCCAAAACCACAAAAAAAGTTTCCAGGAAACTGTTAGATGAATGAGACAATCTCTTTAATGAGACATCTCTGAGGAGCCTCTCATGGCTGTCTCAAGTGCTTTTGGGAATGTAGAAAAAACTTAGCCTTTGAAATCATGAAATTCTATGGCAGGTACTAGCTTCTCTTCTTGCTAACATCTATGTGGGTTAGGGTAAATTATTTACCCTCTCGATGCTTTAGGATCCTAACCAATGAGATGAGATTGATATTTTGTCTAGTTTAAAAGTATCTGAGGATCAAATAGTGACACTGATGGCAAAGTAGAAGTTCATTAAATTTTCTCCTTTTTGGGCTGGGGATGTGGCTCAAGCGGTAGCGCACTCACCTGGCATGCGTGAGGCCCGGGTTTGATCCTCAGCACCACATACAAACAAAGATGTTGTGTCTGCTGATAACTAAAAAAAATAAATAAATATTAAAGTTCTCTCTGTGTGTCTCTCTCTTTGAAAAACAAAAATTAAAAAAAAAAATTTCTCCTTTTTTCCTTTCTCTGAGGGGTCTTCATCATACCCCATTTGCTCTCCAGCTCTCAGGATGCTTGCTCCCAGGGCTGCCCATGCCTCAGTCTAGGGCATCTTTTCCTCCCAGGAAAAGTTGATTTCTAAAAGCAGCACAGGAGGGGCTGGGGATATGGCTCAAGCGGTAGCACACTCGCCTGGCATGCGTGCGGCCCGGGTTCGATCCTCAGCACCACATACAAGCAAAGATGTTGTATCCGCCGAAAACTAAAAAATAAATATTAAGATTCTCTCTCTCTTTTAAAAAAATAAAAAAATCAAAGCAGCACAGGAGCTGACCTTGTCTTGAATGGGAAACAGTTTTCCTGACAGGGACAAGGTCACTGCTGCAGGTCCCTCCCCAGGAGAAACACCTGATTCCTATTAGGATGTACCGTCAATCTTTTCAT